AAAGTATGCCTCAATGGGATGTGGTCACACCATGATCCATTATCCTCCATTTTCCATCCCATTGGGATTTGGATCATGCATGTACATGTGCCCAGTGTTTTTTTTGAAGCTGCTAGGGCTGGGATTTGAACTGTGGTCAGCTATGTGGGATTCAGCTCTCTTACCCACCAAACTATGGGGCCATCCCTGTAAAAGTTTAGACATGACTTGCTTGTGGTCAAGCCAGTCAAGAGCAAGTAGGTCAAAGAATATGTTTTAATACCAGTTGAAGATTCTGGTTAGAACCCGACCAAAGATGGAAGATGAGAGAGATGCCACAGTGTCGGTTCTCTTTTCTCTTATTGACTTTGTATCTCTTTGTTTAGGTAAACACATAACACCCACAGTGACATTGCCGGTCTTTAAAACATGCAATAGAACCTTATCTCTAGTTCAGTTCTTCATAGGCAGGTTGACTCTCCTCTGCCTGTATGGGCTTTTTATTCTGCAGGGCTTCCTTTTGCCTCCTCTCACCTATTCTTTGTTATTTAGGGTTATCCTTGTTGTTAAGTAGCTGTTTTATGGGGCCAGCAGGTGGCGTGGTGATTAAAGGTGCTGGACTCCCACATGGCTAACTATGGTTCAAATCCCAGACCTGGTGGCTTGCTTTCTTACTTTCCCTTTCTCTCTGATCAAACTGGAAAATGATAATAATAATTAATAAAGTTACATAAATATAATTCTTTTAAAAAAGTAGCTTTATAATATAATGTAGCTCAATCGTGGGATGCAAGCTACTGAATAGCCAGGGGGATAAACTCAAAGGAAATATTAAAAATAGTGACTCCATCTTTGACTGGACTGGTGTACAGTATATTTAGGTTGGGAAAATTCATTTTACAAATTGTGGTGATGTACAGTGATTGAATACATAAAATGAACTGAATATAATAATTAAAAAAAAACCAGTGGTTCCTGGGACCAGCAGATGGCATAGCAGTTATGTGGCTAGACTCCCATATGGCTGACCACGGTTCAACTCTTAGACCTGGTGGCTTCAACATTGTGCCAGAATATATGCATATGTACACAAGGTCTCGGGAGGAGAATGGAGAAGGGATTGCAGTGTGGCCAATCCCCCTGGAGAGTGGGATTTCTCACTTTCCCAGTATGTTTTTCAGGCCACTGGGGGCCAGGATTTGGACAGCAGTCAGCCATGTGGGATTCCACTCCCAGCAAACAGTGCTTAACCATGGTGCCTGATTATCCCACACTGTGTGTCTTCTGACACTATCTGGGGTGGGGAGAAAGTCCCATGGTGGGAACTGATGGTCTCATGGAGAGAGGCCAAGCAGCTACAATTAAACCCTGGTGCCAAACCCTGCCCCTGGCCCCCCTCCTCGGGCAGCCGATATGCCCTGTCCAGTCACCGCTACCTGTCACTTTCCAGCAGGTCCTCAGGAAAGCTTCCTGTCGACAGTCGCTGTGTCCCAGGTTCTGGGGCATCACACTGTTGGTTGTTCTCAAAGTGCTGAATAATGTTCCTCACGTTGCCGGGTTTGACTGGGAGGAAAAGACGTTAAGGGAGACTGTGCTTCCCACCAGCGGTGACTTCTCAGGGCCCTCGCCCCCGCTAGCCCAGGAGAGAGTGATGAGGAAGCACGGGGAGAATAGCTGGGACCAAGGCTCGGGAGACGTTCCAAGCCTGGCTCGCGTACGAGTATGCTGTGGGGCCCTGGACGTCCTCTGCCTTTCTGGGTCTGCTTTCTTCATGAGCAAAATAATAGGGCTTGAAAATACATTTTCTAGGGGGCTTTCTTTCCATTCTCACATTCTTTACTAAAATGACACTTCTGCTTGAAAACTGTGACTAGTTTTACCTCAGAGCCACTTATGAGAGGTTTTAGAAGAGTCCACAGAGAACTGATATTTATTTATAAAAAATACTATGCAGATTTCAATTTACTTTTTTGTACCAAAATAAACACACACTTTAAGTTGCATTTTCCTATGAATTTCCCGAAGTTCCCTTGTACAGGTTACAAAGATAGCCAGGAAGACCAAAACAAATCTACATGTCGCTTGACCGTGCTGCCGGATCATATCGATTTTAGAGTTCATTATTCTTGTTTCCCCTGCCTCTTTTTCTTGTTCTTCTTGCTCCCCTCTGACTTCCATCATTAAACAATCAGATTCATTGGTGTAAGAGGTAACCTAGAGGGACGGAGGAGAGGTGACTCTCTGGCCCTCACACTCCAGCCTCTTTTCAAGGCTGAGACAAAAGAAAGCTGTTCTAGTTCAGAGACACGGAGGGCAGGTGAGAGTACAGAGGCACAGGTGATGCACTGAGAGCCTGAGAGGAGGTCCAGCCCAGGAGACCCTGTTTCTGAGCACGAGGGCAGAGAACCAAGGAACTCATCTTCGCGTCCATGAGCTCAGCTCCAAGTGCAGAGTGACTGGGACAGGGGCTGGGTTGTTAGCACTACAAACACTCCAAGGGGCCTGGTCCTGACGAGACAACGGAGTCCTGCCCATGACGTCAGAGAGCCTGATATCCACATACACAAACGTACCAGTCTCCCTGTCTTGAAATCTGACCCTTGGAGGAAAATTCTTAAGCCAGAGAGAACAGAAAAACATTTAGTGGCTATTGTCTTCAAGCTCCCTAACATCCTGCAGGCCCTAGCTTAACACTGTCCCAACACTGCATAGGCCGCTACGGGCCTGTTTTAGGAGCAGGGGTTGTGACCATCTCTCCCCTTTAGGAATCAGGACCAGAGCTGCCTATGCCAGCCTGAAAGTGTGACCAGGCCTTAGAGTCACTCCAATGCCAGGGTCAGCTGTGTGGCCATGCAGCTCTGGCTGAGGGGTGGTAGCCTATGGTCCAAAGCCACTGGGCTGAGTCCACTGTCCCTCCCTCGTGGGTCACTCAGATAGTGCCCAGCTGTGTCCTGAATATATTGGTAGTTACATCCTAGCTGGGGCAAGAAACAGGCGTAGTCTTGTGATCTAGTCTAACCAATTGACACAGAGAAATGGGTTGGCTAGAAAGAAACACATTCTACTTATTTATTTAAATTGCCACAGGGCGTATGTATTCACCAGAGAGAGGGAGAGAAAGGGGGAGAAATTGCTCCCCCAGTAGGACATGGTCATGCCACAATTCTTTCTCTTCACCCTGCCAGGATTTTGGGCACTTGCCCGGCAAGTTTTTCAACTGCTAGGGCTGACCTCTGGAACACATTTTTTAAAAAAGCAGATTTTGGGGGGCCAGCAGGTGGCGTGGTAGTTAAGGGTGCTGGACTCCCACATGGCTGACCACAGTTCGAATCTTGGACCTGGCAGCTTGCTTTTTCAATTTCCCTCTCTCTTTCTGGTCAAATTAAATAATAATGAGAAATAAAATCAAATAATTCTTTTAAAAAATTTTAAAAATAATAAAAATTAAAAAGTAGATTTTTCACTAGGAGTCTTTGCTCTCTCTCCTCCAGCTTCTGAATGCTAACAGAGCTAAATACAAGTGAGGTACATGTTACTGACAATGAGGTATCTCACTAACAAGTGGGTGGTAGCTGGCAGTCCCGGATGGCCATAGCTCTCAACAGTGAGGCTCTAGTTTCGGTGGACGTTTGATCTTTAGATGTGGATATGGATTTGTCTGACGTCCTGGGAATTTTAGAGCCCCGAGACCAGTCATGATACCCCATGAAGAAATCTAACTCAGAGAGCTGGTGAAAACCCAGCGTCCTTATCTTGCCCTAACTCCACGCTGGGTGTCCTGTCCATCTCGGCTGACACAGCATACCGCGTACGCAGAGCTGCTGCTCCTTAACGCCTGCTCATAGCCTCCTGGCAGCACGGGTGAGAACACATGTTAAAAACTTTCGAGGCCATTTCTCCCCCTTGTTTCATAAACACTTTAAAAATAATTCTTTATTTTCGGGGTTGGCAGGTGGCGTGGTGGTTAGAGGCGCTGGATTCCCACATGGACAATTGTGGTTTGAGTCCTGGACCTGGCGGCTTGCTTTCTCCCTTTCCCTTTCTCTCTCTCTCTCTGATCAAATTAAAAAAAAAAAAAAAAAACAAGTGGAATTAAATAAACAATTTTTTTAAAAGTTAAAAGAATTCTTTAAGTTGCCACTTTTATATAAACTAAATTATAGCAACAGAATAATTTCCTCTCTATATTGTTATTATGGGATCTAGAAAATGTTAATCACTTAACTGCCTGCATATGGACTTCAATGATGGGAAATAAACTCGCCAGGCTCTAAGCTACTCGTGAGGTCAAGTGTGTGTGTTTGTGTGTGTGTGTGTGCATGTATCTATGTGTGTGTGTGTGTCATAAGATTTTCTTAGAGTGCATGTGCACTCACCAGAGAGACAGAGTAGGAGGACTGTGAGAAATCACTCCCCAGGGGGGATGGCCACTCTGCAATCGCTTCTCCTCCATTCTCCTCCCAGGATTTGGGACGTGCACATGCACCTGGTATATTTTTCAAGCTTCCAGGTCTGAGACTTGAGCTGTGCAGTCAGCCACATGGGATCCAGCACCTTAGCTACCACACCCCCTGCTGGCTCCATATTTGTTAAAACGCATAGGTTCTAGAAGATACTGGGTCCTCTAACCTACATCCGGGGCCATTCGTTTGTAACTGCAGCAGTTAAAAGGTGTGGACACCTGAGTCCGGAGACGGAGGTGCTACGCTGAAGGGACTTAAACAAAGCAGATGACATAGAAGTAACAAGACCCCCTAAAAACCTGTGAGCCTCCTCCATTCTCCTCTTGAGATTTTGGGCACACACACATGCCTGGCATGATTTTCAAGCTTTTGGGTCCAGGACTCAAAGTGTGCAGTCGGCATGTGGGACCCGGCTGCTTTAACCTCTGTGCCACCTGCTGGTACTAAACTTATACTTTAATTCTATTTTTTTTTTAATGAACTTTTGGAAGTCCTCTTGTACCTTATCCATGGCGAGGTGATAACATTAAAGAGAAAAGGCTCTGGCTACGGGAAAACTGCTAGAGGGCCTGAAGGCTGGTCTTTGCTCAACAGGGAGGAGCTTGCACCTGGGGGCGGAGAGTCCCTGCCCCCTTGAGACCCTTAGGTTAGGCAGGAGCCCCCACAGGGGCTTGTGTCACATGGCTGCTACAGCAAGGTGGGAGTAAGAGAAATGGAGAGAAGGAAGGAAGGGAGGAAAGAGGGACAGGGTAGAAGAAGGAGGAAAAGGGAAGGCAAGATTTGAGAGGTGGAAACTCAATGCTAATTAAGGTAAAGACAAACCCAAAGAAAATGGTCCTTTTACCTTCCACAGGGGACAAGGGAATATGAAATGCTAAAAGAAAAACAAACAAAACAAAAGTAAAACATGAAAAGTCAAATTAATGTTTCAAGAATCAAAATAAAAATTACGTCAAGCTGGAAAATGAAAAGGTAGTGGCAAAAATCAAGGCTGATTTAGGAGAGTCTCTCCCTCCCTGCCTCCCCCCACGAGGCAGAAAAGCAGCAGGCCCAGCCCTCCGCCCCTCACAGACTCCCACTGGCACTGGGGACTTAAGGTACTGACCGGGAGGGCTAATAAAAACTTCCAGACAAATGACACAGTTGGGAAGTGACAGGCTCAACTGAATTTTGGGTTCCAAGATTATTAAGGGAACCCGAGTCCCAATCATGCCCCTCACCCACCTAGCTCCATTTAATAGTAACTCAACCCCCCACCCAGGGCCACACTGCTCCCAGTACATGGCCTGCAGGAGGACGGCTAAGGCCCACTGACGACAGTAAAGGGGTCTGTCCTGCCAGCGGTGCCATCTCTGCCAAGGGAGACACTCCTGTGCCCGGCTGTGCAGCGGTTGCTAACGGCTTGGAGTTCCTACCAGACTCAGGCCCCAGGATGGGCATGGCCTTCTTGACTCCCGAACGTCCCGCAGTGCCTCACAGGGAGGAGCTGCATCCCGGCCTGGGCCCATGGCTCTGCAAACACTGGGAGGCCCTCCGCCAGCACAATGCCAGGTAAAGGGGCTGAGGCCCCTCCTGAGGAGTGCTCAAGGGTGCTGCTCCCCAAATACTCACTGCTCTGGGAGGAGCTTTTGGGCTTTCCGATGTATTTGAGGATTGGGTTTCGCTTCTTGTCCTCCAAGGCATCCTTTTCTTTCTTGGAGTTGCTGCTCTGTTGAGGCAGGAGACAGGATTCAGAGGAGGTTCCAAATACCTAGATGTGGCAGGTGGCCCACCCCCCACTGGATGGGCCCGCAAGAACCAACTGGCAGGGGCGGGGAGTGCAGCAGGTGGCATGGTGGGTAAGGGTGCTGGACACCTACATGGCTGACCATGGTCTGCGTCCCAGACCTGGTGGCTTACTTTCTCACATCCCCTCTCTCACTCTCAAATAAATAAAGTTAAATAAAATAATTTTTTTTTTTTTAAGAACCAACTTGGGAAGCGTCCTGCTTGTGTGGAGGAAGGACTGAGGCTGAGCTGCTCTTGTCTGGGGATTCAAACTGACTCCACATCCAAATCTGCAAAATGGCTTTTCTAGTTGGACCAGCTCGGTACAGGGGTCCACAGGCCAGCCTGCGGGCTGGGTCCCTGGCTGATGCTGATGCGTGCCTGCCAGGTGTGCATGCCCGACCCAGGCTGACTGGGAAGGGACTATGGCATGAGCCTGGGCTGAGGGTGCTTGTCTTCCTTTCACTCTCATGAAAGAAAGAAACTCAAAGGGGGAGGTGGGTGGGGTCCTCATCTACTTCAGCACACGGCACCTCACCAGAGGAGACATTTCTTAGGGCAGTTATGTCACCTTCTTGGTCTTTGGAAAGAAGGGGAGCCATTTGTCCTTGTCAGGAGCAGCCTGGGCCTTTTCAGTTGTGCTGGAAGGTCGTGCCTCTCGAAGACGGATCCCGGCATGGCTCATGTAGGTGTTGAGAGCGAAGTCCATGGGGGCACTGTGTGTGCGAGAAGAACAGGATCGTGAAGCAGAAAGCTCGTTATGTTCCTGCCTGCGGGTGACAGGGCTGATGCCCTGCCTTAAACTACTCCCCACCAACACCCCCGAGGCGAGGGGAAGGGGTGGGGGGCCAAGGTATTCAGTGGGAAGTCTGGCTTAATCAAACGGGACAGCAGGCAGAAGCTGGCTAGAAGTCGTGGCTGGTGGGACGCCAGGGAAATCGTATTCTTCCCTAAGCAGAACTGCTCCCAATGAGGGGGTGAGGGCCACTGGAGGACATGCCAACCCCCTGCAACAAAAGCCACGGGGACCTGGAGGACCCGTGAAGCCCACAGCTAATACCCTCACATATACACAGGGGACTTTAGAAAGCTCATGGGAAATAGGAATTAAAGTAGGAGTTCACTTTGGTGCTAAAACCAATGGAAATCCATGCATAATTTTTTCATATGTTCACCAGGAACTTTTGGGAGAGCCATCGCATGAGGGGCCGCAGAGCAAGGAGAAGGAGCCATGCCAGCCAGTCTTTGCCAAGGCCATGGCCTTCACCACCTCCACCCCAGCACAGGGAAAGATGAAGGAGCTGTCAGGGAGCTGCCAACTGCCACAAATGACACTGCCCAGCACTCTGGGCTTAAAAACATATCTGGCCTGCAATTCGGTAGACAGATCATCCACGCTGTGGATTCCATGTAGCAGAGCTTCAGCCCTGACTCTCCTCCCCACTGCTAAGGAGACTTCTGGCCCCACCTCCTCTCTAGCACTAAGTGTGTGTGCCCAGGGAATGCAGACTTGTCTACATATCAGCTGATGAGAAACAAGGAAAGTGCAGAGGTGGAAAGACAATCCCGGTATGTGCCAGGACAGATGTGGGGCACCCCTGCTCCCCTCTGCTGGTGCCATGAACAGGTGGCCCACACTAACATCACAGTTTTAAGTGGCTGCAGAAAAGGAAATGGGAAGGGAGACAAGGCTAAGTGGGGTGGAGAGAAATCCTGGTACATGACGTCAGGAGACATGTCACCCTGGGGAGGGGATCTCCATTCCCAGACTGTAGCCCCTGGGCACCAAGGGCCCGGGCCTCATGACCCCCATGTGTCATGCTAGACAGACCCCTGGGAGTTAATCGTGCACAGACCACACTCTTACATGGCCCTACAATGCTAGGGACTGTCCTGTGACTGGCAGGAACAAAGCACAGCGCTCACTCCCACTCCCACTCCTCTCCGCCTCGAAAGCTGCCAATGAACCACACCACGGGCTCACTCACCTCCTTTCTTCCTCGTACTTGGACCTGGAATGAAAGAAAGGACAGATGACGCAGAGAGCAAAGGCAGAGCCTCGTCGCCGGGCAGAAGCTGGGAGGAGGGAAAGCTCTTTCTTAGAAGGAGGGAGGGCTGGTGGGGGAGGAGTATGACAGAGGGTCAGACCCAGAGTCTCGGGCACAGCTTTGGAGCCAGCGTGGGGCTCAGGAGGCGAGAGTTCTTATTCCCTCGAGGGACTCGAGTAGCACAGTGGTGATGATGAGGGTGGTGGCCTTCTGGATGAAAGGAAGGGGAGGGAACAAGCACTCTTGCTTGATATGTTTTGGTGTTGGAAGTTATCATGGAGGAAGAGGCTCCTTTCGCATCCTCCTAAGTCTGTGCTGGAAGGGCTGGGCTGATACTGAGGTGGGAGGACAGAAGGTGAGGAGGCACAGAGAGATCCAAAGGAACCTACTGGAAAGAGGTGAAAGGTAACAGTGACTAACACGTGTGTGTTTGCTATGGGCCAGGCACTATTTTATTTTATTAATTAACCCATCTAATTCTCAAAATCACGCACGAGAAGGTATTATATCCCCATTTTATGAGACCAAAACTGAAGAAGTTTTAGGGACACGTCTACGCTGTCAATAATAATCCCATGTAACTGGTGTCCACGATGTCAGGGTGCTCTCAGCCAGGCCCGGCCCCCACCCCTAGGGTGGCTGGGGTGACTACTGCCATCTGACTGCCTGGGACACTAAGGTCCAGAGCACTCAGGGCTTGGCTCAAGGTCAGAAGAGTGACTGAACTGTTTCTCGCTCTCAGATGTCCCCCACAAAACTGCTCCCTATACCACTCAACTGATGGCACCTCTGTCCTTTCAGTAGCTTAGGTGAAAGAAAAAACAAAACCTTGGGCACCATTCCTGCCTTTTCTTGTTCTCTCACACTCCACACCCATTTTCAGAAAATCCCCCTGTTGGCTCTACTGCCAAAGCACACCCAGAATGGACCACTTTTCCTAACCTCCATCACTGTTACTCTGGTCTTTACTTACTTTTTTCTTAAAAAAAGAAAAAAAGAATTATTTATTTCATTTTTTTTTTTTTTTTTTTTTGGAGAGGTTTTTACTATAGGGCGTGTGCGCTTGCCAGACAGACAGAGACAGAAAGCGAGAAATCACCCCCTAGGGGGGATGGCCACGTCACAACCCCTTCTCCTCTGTTCTCCTCTCGGGATCTTGGGCAAGCATGCACACGCACCTGGCGTGAGTTTTAAGCCAGCGGGTACGGGACACGAACCACGGTTGACTACATAGGAGCCCAGTGACATAGCCATTACGCTAACTGCTGGTCCCATTTATTTTATTTATTCTTTTAGTCATTTTCATTTGACCAGAGAAAGACAGATATACAGAGAAGGAAAGTGAGAAAGCAAACCACCAGGGCCGGGACTTGAACCTTGGTTGGCCATGTGGGAGTGTCCAGTGCCTTAACCACCACATCACCTGCTGACCCTACTTTTTTCTTAAAGTTTCTTTTTTTTTCTTCCATAAGAGAGAGACAGAGACAGAGGCAGCACCCCCGAAAGGGTCTTGATGCGGCAACCACCCCCAGCCTCAGGATCACTGGCACATGTCTCGAGGAGACTTTGGGCATTACTCGGGACCTTCCCACACGGCTTCTGCACTGTAGGGCAATGTGTTATCTCTGTACTGTCACGGCCAGCCAATGCCCCATCACCCTCCACGTGGGCTACTGGAGAGCCTTCGCCTCATTTCCCTGTTGAGCCTCTTCACCCCAAATCCGGCCTCGTGCAGCTACAGTGGGCCCCCTCACTGAGGGTCAAGCCTGGAGTGTTCACAAGGCTCTGGTCCCCCTCCTGTCACCTCTCCGACCTGATCACCCACTTCTCTCTCCCTCTGCTCCTCAAATCCGTCAGGCACGTCCTACTCTGCTCGGGGCTTCCTCCTCCTGGAATGCTCAGGGAACCTCCCACTCTCTTCAACCACCTGGTGTGACTGTCCACGCGGCTCACCCTGGCGCCCTACATAAAACCACGGCCACTGGCTCTGGCACACCAGGTCCGCCATAGCCTGCGCTGCCTTCTCCCCCGGCGCTTATCATTCCTACGGTCCCACACTGCCGTCCCTGCGCACGAGGGGCAGCTGCTCACTAGTGCACCCAAGTGCTGGCGCAGAACCGTGTCCAGTGCACACGAGAAACACCGTCAACTCGAGTCCAGATGTCCATGTGGGAGACCCTGTGATCATCCAGTCCAACCTTTGTCATTCTGTGGTGAGGCCCAGAGAGATGAAATAGCCTGACCAAGGTCACGTAACCACTCAGCGAGGAGCAGCAGAGCACCAGGGCAGAAACCATTTCTAAGCCTCAAAAGGTTCTGCAAAGTCTGTGGGGTGAGACTTCTATCTTCAGAAAAAGGGGCAAGAAAGGCGGCAAAAAAGCAGCCACCCAGACGCTCCTTAATAGGCTGAGTTAGCTTAGTGTTCTGAAGTGACTGGTAAAAAATGGTTCAGTTTCCCTTAAAACGATTCTAGCTACCTCTGGAAGAACTCTACCCACTGGAGACTCGCCACTGACCTCGCTCTCGCTCAGGGTCAGACAGGATCTTACAGGAGGAGGGAGGCAGGTTGGGGAGAGGGCCAAAAAGGAGAAGCAGAATGCTCAGTGATTCCCGGAGCTCACGGTCTGTCGTAACCACCACAGTGTAGGGAGCCCCAGGCTCTGCGGTGGCCTTGAGCACCCCAGCAGCCCCAGCCTGAGATCTGCAGGAGGGTGTGGCTCTCCCCGCCTTCTCAGGGATGGGGAGTCAGGCAATAAGTGGAGAAGGAAAACAGAGTGACAAGGATGCCGGCCTGTTCAGGTGTGGGGTTGGGCTGAGCACTCACAGGATGTCGCCCAGGGCAGCCAGCTGCTTCTCAGCCACTTGGCGCTCCCGGAGAGGGTCCCCATCCAGGTCCAGCAGGTCATTCTCTCCATACAGGCTGCCCAGGCCTAGGGTGCGCTTTGTCCTAGAACAGAGAAAGACACGCATGTGCACAGATGCTCGGCAGATGGGAACCCTGAGGGGAGGCAAACACACACGTGCACACACATACACACGTGCACACACGTGTGCTATACACGTCATGGAGGAATGGGAAATGGCTGAGAGGCAGAGGTGAGGAGAGAGGAGGGCAGGGGCTGGCCCACCTGTACTCGTGCATCTGCTCCTGGATCTCTGGCAAGGCCGCCTCCTGAGCTTCGCAGAGAGCTCCGCGGGCATCCTCGCCACTCCGAAGGCGTGAGTCTGTGGGAGCCCAGAGAAGGCAGGTGGGCAGGTGTCGGGAGGAGGAAGGGCTCCTGCTCCTCGGCTCCCTGTGACACGGTGAGTGGAGAGGGGGGCTTCCTGCCCTGTTAGCCTGAAGTGGAGGCCGGGACCCCCCAGTCATTCCCGAAGTCAGGACTGTGACCCTGATGTCCAAGCCCAAGGCAAGCACAGCCACTTTCCGATGTTCTACACACCACGAGAAGAAACAAAGCCCTCTCATCGATGTGTCCCCACGCTGGCCTCCGACGTCACCGTGCAGACCGCCAAAGGCCACCTTCCCCTTCCACTGCTACAGGTCAGCTCAGAAGGCCAACAATGGCCAGCTCGCTTCCCAATGCATGAGACCAGAACACCCGGCAGAAAGAGAAAGCCATCTCTTCTCCTCCTCTGTATCTAGCTCCACCCAGGCCGGGCCCCAGGGTGGATGGTCACCCTCACCCTGCCCTGAGCAAGCTCTGTCCTCCCTGTCACCTGTGCCATGAGCCCTCCTCCCTGTCAACTCTGCCAAGCGCAGCTTCAATCTTTTACCCTCTAAAAAGCTGCCGGCAATCAGCTCCCAGGCTTACACCCTCCTTACACTGCCTCCCCTTCACTCTTCTGCCCAGGGTGAGAAATCGGAGGGAGCAGGGCAACTGCCAGGCCACTGGGGCCTCCCTCTGGATCAGCCGCTATAAGCATCAGTTGACGAACTTACAAAAACCACCTCCCTTCCTGCCTCCCAACACTCTGGGGACACTGACTCTGCAGGTGGGATGGAGTGAAGCCCTAGTTCAGGAACCTCTAATTGAGTCCAATTTCCTCTTTATACAGGTGAGCCACTGAGGCCTGGAGAGGCCACGTGGAAGGCTGGCAGGGAGAAGCCCAGGTCTCCTGACTCCAAGTCCAGTGTCTTCCTGTGACAAGCTCCATCAGGCTGAGGGAGCCCCAGGAAGGGCCTGCCCCAGCTATACCTGTCCACAGCCGCTGTTAAGGGATCTGGAGAGGCCACCCCCTGGATCTTTCTCATTTTTGGACAAGTGCCCAAGAGCAGGGACTACATACACTCCCTCTGTCCTCTGGAGCCTTTTGGTAGCCCGAGAAGAGGACATTAGGAAAGGTCAAATGACCAGGAGCTGGGACCAGCAGTTAGCGTAATGGCTAAGTCGCTGAACTCCCATGTAGTTGACTGTGGTTCGCGTCCCAGACCCAGCAGCTTAAAACTCACACCGGGTGTGTGTGCGCATGTGCCCAAGATCCCGAGAGGAGAATGGAGGAGAAGGGACTGCGGCGTGGCCATCCCCCCTGGGGGGTGATTTCTCGCTTTCTGTCTCTCTGTCTCTCTCGGTCTATCTGGCAAGCGCACACGCCCTATAGCAAAAACCTCTTCAAAAAAAAAAAAAAAGACCAGGAGCTGACTTACCGATCTCCACCTGCAGCATCTCGGGGACCTTCACTCTCAGAGGCTAGGAAACAAGAGGGGGCGAGTGTGAGTCGGCACACTCTGGGGGGGAGGGGACAGCACATGGTGCGGGGCCAGGGACACTTGCTGCTCTCCCCTGCACCTACGCCTACCCACCCCCTCCATCTCTCTCCACTGCATACCCAGGTTCCAGGCTATGGTTTGGGGAAGTTAACCCTGAGGCCATGGGCAGCTGCAGCTATTGTCTGAGAGTGGCACATGTGAGTTTCAACTCTGGTTTCATAGACATTGGGGTGCAAGGGATGAGAGCAGCGTGCTATCTGAAAGGCAGACCAATGTTCACTAAGCAGCAATGAGGAGGCTGTACCAGGCCAGCCGACGTCCTCCCTCCATTTCCCTCCCAAGGGAAGCTAGCCTTGTTCACCTGGTCTTTGGTGAGCACAGTGTCCGGCTTTTAGCTTTCCAAGCCCTTGACAGTGGGTGCCGAGGTTGCTAACTACCCGTGGAGGAGAGCCGGCAGCTAGCTCTGTCCTCCTTACTCAAGGCCCAGTTAAGGGAACAGATGTAAAAATTCTTGGGGAACATCTATTTTTCCAACCTCATTAGCCCAGGCAGCTCACTTCCAGAAGAATAAAGTTATTGTGAAATTAGTTTAGTTGATCAAATTAAAAAGTCTAGGATGCCGAGTGCCCTCTACTGGTAGAAGGGCTCTTGCCAGCCGGCTCCCTGAGAGCCCTGAGACCGTTCAGCTGCTCACGCACGGCAGAGGCCGGAGGCCTCCCACTCTGACTCCTGCCCGTGGGCCATGACCGCCAGCCACACTGAGCTTCAGAATTGAGTCCTCCTTGGCCTGACTCATTTAGACCATCTGCTTGTGCCTCTGCTGCTCTGTCCCAGAATGGGCAAGGCAGGGAGGGCTGGGGGAACCAGGGCATCGATTCAGGGGAGAGCTGTAAGAAGTCAGTGCAACCTCTTTCCCCAGACAATATGTAGAGACAGTGTGCGTATTCTGCTTCTTTTTAGCCCGAATGTTTTGCTTAGTCTCTCCTCTGCCCTTGAGTCGACCAGAGAGTATAATAAAACCATCACCCAGTGACCCCCTTACTGCGTTTTTCTCTAGGAAGATGTTCCAGATGTCTTTTCCCAAACTCCGGGAGTCCTTGGGGTTGGCCTGCTGGTACACTTCTGCACACAGGTAAAAAAGCTAGAAGGAAAGGTCAGCCGGATCAGAGCGGCAGTTCCCAGCCACGGGTGACTGTCCCCCTTGGGGACACCTGGCAATGTCTGGGGACAGTTTCACTTGCCAAAACGATTGGAGAAGCGGGGTGCTACCAGAACCCAGCTGAGTCGAGTCCATTGATGAAGCTAAATAACCCACAACGCACGGGCCGTCTATCACCCCAAGGAGTTCTCCAGTATAAACTGTCCATACTGCTGTGGCTGAAAGCTTGGCTAGAATGCTTCAGAAAAACGCGTGGGAACACAACCTCCAAACCCCCTTCCCGGCGCATGCCTTCAGAGCTGATAACGCCTTCATTCTTACTCTCTCCACACTTGGTATTTTACTGGTGTCTTAAAACTGTTTACGTACAAGGGGACTTCAAAAAGTTCATGGAGAAATGGAATTCAAGTACAAGCTCATTGTGGTGCAAACGTTTTTTGAAATCCATGCAGTGTTTGTTAATATGCACTTTCCATAAACTTTTTGGAGAAGCTGTGTACTATTTCCCCAGGGTTCCTGCTCCACTCTGTGCCATGGCGGGGATTTCCTCAGGAATGCTGCTGACATGCCGGGACCTGGGACTTACACACAGGTCCAGTGGGCGCCTGGTGAACAAGTGGACGTTGGCTCTGGCTTCCCAGAACAGCTATAATCCCAGAGAGACAGAATAGTCTGCGCTGTGGGCAAGAGGTTTACCCTGAAGAATAGACCATCGACCTCTATCCCCCACCCCCGTCCTCTCTAAGCAGCTGAGCAGAGCGAGTGAAACCGGGAAGGCTGCTGGCTGAGACCCATCCCGGGGTACGCAGGTCCCCATGCCTCACATTCCTTGTCATCACCCTCAGATTGAAGACCCCCCTGGCCACACTGCCCCTGGCCATGCTTTCTTGGCTTTAACACCGTACATACATTTGCAAGGGCCACTCTCTCAACTCTCCAGTCTCTATCCACCCTCCCTTAAAACACTCCACACAGCCCGTTCTCTCCACGATGACTTCCTGGACTGACCGAGAATGACAGTTTGCCCTGCCCACTCTTCCTAGGCTGACGTAGGGAACTGTCACAACGAAGCATCCCTTCTGCCTAAGCTTCATCTTCGTTTTTATTTGGTCCCTGCCCTTAAGGCGCCGACTGCGCTCGTGGGTCTGACGTAGAACGGTAGTGAGCAGGCCAGAGACTCCCTTTGCCTAGCACAAGCAGGGTCTCCACCAGGACTGATCCTTCTGACTTACCAGTGGACTGGGGTCTGCCTGAGAGAAGATGTAGCGTAGGAAAACCCCCAGGTGAGCAGGATGCAACTTCAGTTTCTCAAGGTCCTGGAATATGATGTCGCTCTGGAAGACAGAAGGGTGAACGGTCTGGGAGACGACACGGGCAGGGGACAGCACCATGGCCGCTCCAGCTTAGCCACGTGCCCTCCACCTTCGGGGTCTGTCAGCAGAGGCTCCCTCCCCTGACCCCCTCACAGCTGGTGCTAGTCAAAGTGCCTCTTGTCCAAAGCAGCTTGTATGACAGAAGAATGATGAAAGGAGAAAACCAGGAAGCCGTTACCTCGTTGTTGAAATAACCCGGGTCATAATCTTCCTCTGGGCCGATAATTAAAGGCTTGGGGCTTTGATCTACACCCTGGGGGAGAGAGTCAGGTTGGAGAAGATGAAAGGTTAGAGGACAGGGGATCCAACTCTTCGGTGCAGCTTGTTTAGCAACAAAGGATGCCACACAGGCCTGGTAAACGTGGGCATCTCATCCCCACCCCCAAATCTCAGAGCCCCAGATGAGATGATTTCTACTCTCAGGAAGTCAACTGCTTCTGGGTGGGGCAGAGCAGCCTAGTCATGTGACAAATGAAGATGGGAAGTAAGAAATGTTCTTTTCCTGTTTGCAAAAGAGCTGGGGAGGGAGTGTCACCCACCATAGGAAGAACCTAGAGCTCCTGCTGGACTGCTGGGCTGGGGGCTTTGCTGTGAATGAACACTCCCCCCCCCAAACTCGCCCTCCACGCCTTCCAAGGCTGGCGCCCACTGCAGCATTACCAAACAGCTACTGGTGCCTGTTAAGTTCAGCGGCGTCATTACTAGAAGGTTAGTAGTGAGTCTCTGCCTTCCCGAGCAAGATAATTTGCATTATTTCCCTTGCCTGCTCAGGAATCTATGGTAGATCCCCACTACCATGCTAAAATCCAAACTTCTCAGCCTGGATTTTCTTTCCCCTTTATTTTGATTTTAGTTAAAAACCTTATCTATTCAGTAAGTCACTGAACAGGGATGACAAGACTTCATGTTGCATAAACTTTCCAGATGCTTCATGGGACACGATGTTCTCCTAAAAGGTCCTTGAAAGATAGAGTTCCACCAACTCTTATCTTTTACTCGACTCAGTCGTCCTCATTTTTTTTTTTTTTTGAGAGATTTTTCCTATAGGGCACGTGCGCTCGCCAGACAGACAGAGAGACAGACAGAAGGCGAGAAATCACCCCCCAGGGGGAATGACCACGCCACAATCGCTTCTCCTCCATTCTCCTCTCGGGATCTTGGGCACGCACGCACACGAGCCCGGCATGAGTTTTAAGCCACAGGGTCCGGGACGTGAATCACGGTTGACTACGTGGGAGTCCAGCGACAGCCATTACGCTAACTGCTGGTTCTCAGTTGCCCTCATTTCCAGAGATTCCCCAGCAAGGGCGCAGCTTCTGGAGTCCACCTGGCTCGCTCTGCCTGCTTCGTGGGGCCGAGAAGACCCTCCCAGCCCACCTTCCCAGGACGCTGTTGGTGACTGTTCCTCCCTGACACTCCTCCCACCTTTCTGTCCTGGTTATTTACAGACCAAGCCCAGAATGCCCAAGTCCCAGAACGTGAGACAGGGCAGGACTTGCAAAGGTTATAGTTGAATATTCATTAATAACTGAAAAAGTGAGACCCAGGGAGACTGACTGTCAGGTTTATAGTTGCAGAGTCAGGCCTGATGCGCTGTATGGGGGACTATGGAAAGAAAGTATGTAGAAAAACAGAATTAAAGCACAAATTTATTTTGGTGTAAAGTTCTAAAATTTATGCTTAGTCTTTTCATAATATGCATTTTCTACAAACTTTCTAAAACCCCCTCACCTTTGTATTTCCACCCCGAGTGCCCTACTCTCCAGCGTCTCTCTGCTCTGAGTCCCTGGGGGCCAGGGTACCCCAGGTGGTGGATGAGCGCATCCAGCACTACTGGTTCTCCAATGAAACCTGAAAAACACTCTGTTCATGCTTATTTTGGGGAGAATTTTCTAAAAAAGTCTTTACAAAAAATATTTATTTTGGGACCAGCAGTTAGCGTAATGGCTATGTCGCTGGACTCCCATGTAGTCGACCGTGGTTCGAGTCCCAGACCCGGTGGCTTAAACTCAACGCCGGGCGCGTGTGCGTGCGTGCCCAAGATCCCGGGAAGAGAATGGAGGAGAAGGGATTGCAGTGTGGCCATCCCCTCTGGGGGATGATTTCTCGCTTTCTATCTCTCTGTCTCTCTGTCTGGCGAGTGCACGCGTCCTATAGCAAAGAAAAATCTCTCAAAAAAGAAAAGGGGAACCAGCAGTTAGCGTAATGGCTATGTCGCTGGATTCCCACGTAGTCGACCGTGGTTCGCGTCCCGGACCCGGTGGCTTAAAACTCACGCCGGGCGCGTGTGCGTGCGTGCCCAAGATCCCGGGAAGAGAATGGAGGAGAAGGGATTGCGGCGTGACCATCCCCCCTTGGGGGGGGATTTCTCGCTTTCTGTCTCTATGTCTCTCTCTATCTGTCTGGCGAGCGCACGCGCCCTATAGTGAAAAAAAAAAAAACAAAAAAAAAAAAGAAAAGAAAAGAAACTGGAACTATATTATGTTTGCTCTTATCACTCAAAGAAACAACAATTTATCATTTTTAAAATAATAATTTATTTAATTATTTGTTATTATTATTTTAAAATTTGACCAGAGAGAATCAGAGAGGGGGGAAAGTAACAAAGTAAGCTGCCAGGGCCAGGACTTGAACCGTGGCAGCCATATGGGAGTCCAGTGCCTTAACCACCACACCACCTGCTGGCCCCAGAAACAGCAATTTAAATAGTTTTTGGAAGATGAATAAATTCAGAGGGGGAAAAAAAGGATTCCAAAGCCATTTACTCCATGCCTGGGGTGATCTACCATTTGAAGAAAAGCCTTCCCTGGAAACAGGATGTACGTCTGATCCCGTCCCCCAGCCCCAACCTGAACTTGGTCCTCCGGTTCACAGAGCGAGGGGAGGGGCCATCAGCCTGCATGGCTCTGCAGAGCCAAGGTTAGCTGCGACTCCGCCAGTCACAAGCCAAGTCCTGCACGGACTGAACTGTGCCTCAGCCTTTCCGCCTTTACCACCTGAAGATTCTAACAGCCGACTCCTTTTCTGATTGTGAGAACTGAATTAGCTTTTTAGTAAAGGATCCGGCATGGCAGATGGTCCACTACACATTTTAACACGGGTTAGATCCAGCCTCCCCACGTCCCTCTAAGTTCTAGTAATAACTACATTCTATTTGAGGGGTAAAACTCGAGCAGAAAATGCATTCTCCTTTTGCGCAGTTCCTCTTCACTAGAAGTTCCTTTAGAGGACTGCAAGCTCTGAATTCAAGAAAAACAGGATTCTCTCAGGCTGTCTACTGCCTACAGACATTCTGCGAAACCAGTTTCCAGAGTTCAAGAAGCTCTGGGGTCCACTCCAGATGACACTCAGAAGATGATTTGATTAGTTCCATTTCAAAGTATTCACTTCTTCACGAGTTTTACCTCATGAGGAAGTACCTGCCTGGTGCCAGGTGCCATGGCAGGTGCTCTACACCTAGGACAAGCTAAGCCTGGGGGAGTTAGGCTGGTGCACGAGGAGTGACAGCAGAGGGACAGATGTGGCAGGAGAGAGCGGGTATGCCGTTGGGACCCTGAACCATAGGCATGGCATCATCTAAGAGCTCTGTGATGCCTGTGCACACAGTAGGGCCAGGCAGGGAACTGTAATCCCACTGCCTGCAGCTACGCACTGACGCCTGGGAAAGGAGCTCTGCAGGAGAGCCTCCGTGAGGCAGCACCAGCGTGGCTACCTCGAGCCCACACACCTCTCCCGGAGACCTACCTAAACACGTTTGCCACAGGAGAAAGCAAAGTCTGGTTTTGTCCAGGGGAGGGAGGAAAAGACAGAAAAATCAGATCTAGGGTCCGGGGCCCATGAGGGCTGGATGTAACCGACACTCAGTCACTGGTCAGCTCCTAGTGACTCGCACGCACTAAACAGAAGGATCACTGCTTTCTTTCTCCTTATACCGTTTTCTCCTTCTGTGCAATTACTTTAGAGCCCCATGTTCTGAAGACCACCCCCTGCATTCAGAGATTGGCAGGCACACAGAACCATAAGAACTCTGAAGTAGAGGTTTTCAAACGTTCCGACCACCTTCCAAAAACATGCATGTTACCACCTAGTACACACGTATGTATGGTCTTAAAAAATTTCACAGAGAATGCACATGAATAAAACTGCATGGATTTCAAATTTTCTCTTTTTTTTTTTTTTTGCAGCAAAATAAACTCATACTTTAAATTCCATTTTTCCATAAACTGAAGTCCCCACAAATGTAGCTAAAACAGAAGTTTCATGAAACTTTCACATTACTATTTACACCATGCTCTTTCTTTACTATTAGGTCACCAAGAAAGTCATGACGTGTTTTCCTATGCAAAAAAAGAGTCACGATTTTCCTGACGAGCAGTATTTGTCCTCTCTGTGACTACCTTAAATCCCAGCTGCTGGAGCAGCGTTTAATTACTCAAGACCACACGTGCTGGGAATGCCCATGCCTCCAAGTTCCAGTTCTGGAGAAGGGGGTTGGAAAACGGCGGGCTGGCTCTGGTTCACTCACCTGGTCGCTGGTGGGGGGGACAGGTGCGTCCGAACCCTGCCGCCTGTGGTGCTGGGTCGCCCTGGCCATGATCACAGGAGAGGTTCGGGGACTGTCAAGCCCGGGGTCTGATGGTACTGAGTTCCGATTCATTAGCGACTAGAGGAACAGAGAATTCTGTGAGAGGGAAGGGCCTCCGGTGTCAGAGCCATGCTCACCATCCACCCCCTCGGTACTTGTACTTCGCTCTGTGGCTGGTGTTATACTGGGCCCTTGACTGCACATAATTTCTTTTGATTCTACAGCTCCTCGAGGGGACACGATTGCTCCTCCTGCTTCCAACAAAGAAGCTAAGGACTCAGAGTTTGTGAGACTTACTGGAAGTAAAGAGGTCTTCCCTGGTGTCACCCCAGGTGGCCACCAGGTTCAGCCCACACTCTTCCTCACTAACAATGTCACCTCCAGTTAATGTCAACTGCAGATTACCTAGGACTCTCCTATCCCCACTTTCTTGGTGACGTTCACAGAGACGGATTCTTTCACGCGTATTCATCATCCTCCCATGAGGAGATGGGAGCAATAAGAACATAAAATTCCAAGTTATCTAAAATTAGGTTTTAATATGTTTTCAATTACATATTGCTTCTTCTTCTCACTCTATTGTGAGATTATGTTTAGAGTTTATATATGTCAATGGAGAACCTGGAAGGTGTTCTAACCTCGGAGGTCAGAAGCTGAAATTCCTTTGACTGCTCCAGAAAAGACAAGTCTTTCAAGTAGAAAAAGAGCTGCAGCGGGCCAGCCAGGTAGGGTGGGGTTAAGGTGGCTGGGTCCCACATGGCTGACTGCACAGCTCAAGTCTTGGACCGAGGCTTGAAAATCTTGCCAGGCACATGTGCCTACATGTGTGCCCAAAATCCCAAGAGGAAAACGGAGGAGAAGGGACTGTGGTATGGTCATGTCCCTGAGGAGTGCTTTCTCATGTCCTCTCCTTTGTCTCTGCCAAGTGCATAAGCCATATAGCAAAAAACAAAAGCAACCTATGGCAAAGAAAGAGCCTTTCCCTTCTGCTTGGCCTGGGTCAGTGTACTGATCTCAGGGGATTCTCCCCCAGCCAGGCAGGAGTGTGTTCCTGGTCATGCCACTGCTCTAGACGTCTCTGCTCCCCTACTCTCGAAGGCTTGCTACGGTTAACGGCACAGCTTCCCTCTCCACCCTACTCGACAGAACCGAGACGGCGGTAAAATGCAAACCAGACTCAATTGATGATGTCACATGTATTTGAAATCCCCTTTTTGGAAAGTGATTAAAATTCCTAGAACTGGAACTGTAGTCAAGAAGCACAGATGAAGGCCTGAGGTCTCAGCGCAGTGGTGAGTGGCCGTGGTGGCCCCGGGACACTATACAATCTTTTTCTTTTGTTTAGAGAGCGAGTTTTTGCTATAGGGTGCAAGCACTTGCCATAGAGATAGAAAAACAAAGTGAGAAATCACCACCTGGGGGGATGGCCATGACGCAATCCCTCCTCTTCCAGTCTCTCAGGATTTGGGGCACGCACACACAGGCGCCCAGCCTGAGTTTTAAGCTGCAGGGTTGGGGACTTGAGCTGTGGTTTGATTACGCCATCTGCTGGTCCTGACACTGTACAGACTTAAATGGGCATTGCCAACTGGCACTCACCTCACTAAGGGAAAGAAAGCGCTCTGTCCCTGAGTCCAAGCCGCTGTCCCCCTCCTGGGAATCCAGAGAGAGTCGGCCTGAGAACAAAACAGTTTACAGAGTAAGGAATGAGCTGGGCCCAGGAGTATTAGAGCCTTTATTCTCAGCACCTGTGCATAGGGCCGGCAGGGAGGCTTCCCTCTCCCCTTCCTTCACCACTCTGCCCTTGGCTCTCTCACCTCCGGGGCACGCCTATCCTCCATTCTGCCCACTTTGCTTCTACCTCCCTCTGCACCTATGCGAGGCTGTGCCACCGCCTGAAATTGGACTCCGGAGCTCTATCTCACAGCTAGTCCTGCCCCTCGACTCATTCCCGACCCTCATCTGGTCACCACCCACTTCTTGTAACAAGTGTGTGCCAAGCTCCCGAGAGCCAGGCTGGCCAGGCGGCTGCTGTTTCTGGGCCATCGTCGTTACCCCAGCATCGCCCTTGCCCCATCTGCCCGGTGCTCGTGGTCAGACCCTCATTCCCCTGCTTCCGCGGGCTCCAATTTCCTGTGTGCTTCCGCTGCCTTATCCCATCATTCTCTCCCACGGTCTGCCCCATGGGGAGGGGACAGCAGATGAGAAGCCTGGGCTAGTGATATGCCAGAGAAAAAGGGGGGATGGGAGGACTCACCTTCCGATGGTCTCTGGCTGGCGTCACCATACAGAGGAAGAATGTCCTAAAAGAGAAAGGCCCAGAGGGCGGCACTCCTGTGACCCTCTCCCTCTGCGGTTCCCTTCCTCCAATCACAGCCGTATTTGCTTCACCTCACGGCCTCCCCTGCTTCACCACCTCAACACCAGCTAGAAGAGATATGGCTTCGCCTATACAGTTGAAAGAGGATGGGGACTCCACTGGTGGTAAGGGAACTTTATCATTCGTAACATGTATTTATCACCCTGGACTTCAAAGCACCTACTGCCTCACTAAGGCTGGAACGAGAAAGAACTCCTAAGCATCATGGAGCACAGGACGCTCCAGCACGTCCCGGTCTGGTGGCGTACACGGAAGCACACTGCCTGTGGTGCTGGAAGCCACACGGCTGAGTGTGGGTCTGGATCTCGAGGGAACCTGAATCATGCCAGATGCACGCACTCCAGATCCTCGCTAGCTCAATAGTAGCTGGAGGCTTCGGGGAAGGAGACTGTGGTGACCAGGCCCTGTGAGGGTATGTCTCTCTCTCCTGTGCATGTGGTCTTTCTCATGAAATACACCAATTTAGGTAAATAAATAGCTGCAGCAGGTGACTGAGGAAGATATGAAAGGTTTACCACGAGAGAGCCTTTTAAAAGTCCATTTACTTATGAACAAAAGAGGCAGAGAGAGACAGAGACAGTTCCCTCGACAGGGCCCAGCACAGCAATCCACCCCCAGCCTTCGGCCAGTCCTGGATCATCCCCATGTGTGCTGGGTACCGCCATGGTGACCTCCAGGCTTGAACCAGGAACCTTCCCCTATAGGTCAGCCTCACAGAGCGCAGCACTTTCCTACTATTCCCTACAGAGGACAGCTGTTGGCCTAGGACTGACTGACCTGCCCAGAGCAGGGGACATGATACTGATCGTGCTTTGCTGTGTGCAAAACACATTTACTCATCAACAACTCCGCGGTAGGCGCACTGCTCTCCTGTCATGAATGACGAAACACAAGTTCAGAGATCTGAAGTACCTTACCCAAGCTACAAGCTGAAGCAACAGGTGTCAACTCTGAAGCCCGGGCTGGAGCTCAGACCTCCAGATGCAAGCTGAGTGTGTGAGAACCACCACCTCATAGTGCACAAGCACACTGACACCAACGGTGGTGGCGGTAGCAATGGCAACAGTAAGCATGTTCTGGGCCCTGTGCCAAAGGGAGGTTTAATTCTGACGGGACCCTGTTAGGGGACACTGCCATGTTCTCCACTTCACAAATGAGGAAAGCAAGGCTCCTAAGTATTATTATTTTTTTTTGAGAGGTTTTAGCTACAGGGTGTGTGCACTCGATGGAGAGACAGAGAGAGACAGAGAGACAGAAAGTGAGAAATTACCCACCGGGGGGGACGGCCATGCCGCAATCCCTTCTCCTCCATTCTCCTCTTGGGATCTTGGCCATGTACACAGACATGCCTGGCATGAGTTTAAGCCACCGGGTCCAGGACTTGAACCATGGTTGACTACATGGGAGTTCAGCGACATAGCCATTATGCTAACTGCTGGTCCTGAGGCTCCTAAGTATTAATAACTTGCCCAAGAGTCTTAAAGTGAGAACTAGAGCTGGAATTTTAACTGAATGGTCTAAGCCATCAACCACATGAAAGGAGAAGTCCTTCTGAAAATGAAGCAGTTTACGTTCATTTGCCTGTTTCCCAAACTTTTCTGATCTGGATGTACTTTTTTTTCAGAGAGAGATTTTACTGGTGCATGCACTTGCCAGAGAGACAGAGAGACAGAAAGCACGAAATCTCCCCCCAGGGGCGGATAGCCACGCTATAATCCCTTCTCTTCCATTCTCCTCTTGGAGTCTTGGGCATGCACATGCACACGCCTGGCATGAGTTTTAAGACACCGGGTCCAGGACTTGAACTATGTTCTACTACATGGGAGTCCAGTGATGTAACCACCACGCCATCCACTGGGCCCCTGATCTGGATGTTTAAAAAAAAAAAAAAAGCAGACAGTGCCAGCAGGCGGCATGTACTCCCACATGGCCATTTGAGTTCAGGACCTGGTAGCTTGATTTCTCACTTTCTCTCTCTATCTCTGGTGAGCACACGTACCCTATTGCAAATTTAAAACAAAAAACAAACGATTCTTAAATACTTCTGCTTGCTTTAGCAAATACTATTCTTGAGACCCTGAAGTTTCTAGAGAGTTACCCCTTATTTACCAAAGAATTGAGGCCTGATGGCCTTAGTAAGACACTAGTAGTAAAGGCCTTGAGGAGAACATAAAGAACACTGTCCTTTCTGGAATATTCAGTGAAGTACAGCTTAGCTGCGAATATCAGTAGATCCCTCTCAACTGACTGGTTCTCTGCATTGGCTGACTTCTAAAAAGCACTCATACTGGGGCCAATAGGTGGTCTGTTGGTTAGGTGCTGGACTCCACATGGTCAACCATGGTTTTGAGTTCTAGATCTGGTGGCTTGAAAATCATGCCAGGCAGGTATGCATGAATGTCCAAAATCGCAAAAGAATGAATTGCTGTGGCCATCTCCCTGGAGGGTTTTCTCACTTTCCCTTTCTTCCTCTGGTGAGCCCATGCACCCCATGATAAAAAAAATAAAACAAAACAAAAAAACAACCTAAAAAAAGAAGTACCTGTATTTCCTTGAGAGGACTCATTGTTCAAAGGATAGGTAGGTGGTGGAAAAAGCACCAGATGAACAGTGAGTAAAGCCATCAGCAATGAGGACATGGCTCAGAAAGAAAGGATCAGTCAGGAGACTAGAAGCCACTGTCTAATTTACCTCATACTCATATTTATTTCTTCCCATTGAAACCATAAGCTTTTGGAGGGCAAGAACTAGGCTTTTCCCTCTAATACTATCCCAAGTGCCATGACAACACTCAGCTCTTGGTGGTAAGGAGCTGATGGCCTTCATTTCTCCGTAAAGCACTCTGGCCTGACTTGGGAAGTCTGTCTCCCCGCTGCCTATCCTGCCTGGTGCCTCTGCGAGAGCTAGGCCTGCCATCACTCACCACTAAGCCACCAGTCTCCTGCTGGATCTTCAGCTGCAGCTGAGTGACTCGCCGCCGGGCACCTTCGATCTGCTCTTCCAGCAGGCTGGCGGGGTTCCGGCTATACACCTCACAGATACGCTGGGGGGTGAGGAGGAGAGCAGGAGGGGAAAGGCAGAAGGTGGTTAGTGGAGAACGGACGGCTCACCAGTAGGGAGGGTAGGCAGTTATCCCCAAACAAACAGGAGAGAGGTCTCTGTCTTCCAGCAAGGCATGTTACTCCACCATCACAAGGGTCATGAAAAGGTGTAAGTGATGAGAAACAGAACACATGACATGACACAACCAGAGAAAGGAGACGAAACAGGAAGGCCTGTCCTCATCTGACCCATTCTTCATGGCCGAGGCCGAGCCCAAGTCCCACAGCCTAAAGACATCTGCCTTGACTACCACTCAAGCGTGAAGTATTTAAGTGACTGTCTAGACCAGTACACAAAGAGGAAGCCTCCACACAATGAGAACCAATGGAGACCAGAGGAAGCAGCTCGGACTAGACCAGCCAGTCTCAACTCCCTGCCCCAGCCCCACCACTAGGAAGCTCCTGGCGAGGAGGAACCATGTAAACATTTAGCTGGAACGGAGGCCGCTGAGTATAGCTCAGGGGTGGGGCTTTGCCTCAGGAGACCTAGCTTTGAATTCTGGCACATACGCCTACTGGATGTGTAGACTTGGGCAAGTTTGCATATGTCCTCATCCATAAAATGGAGATGACAATGCCTGCCTCATGGGACAGCTGTAAGATCTGAATGAGATTATGTATGTAAAGTGCTTAGCAGAATGTCTGGTGCACAGTCACACGCCCGAACACACAGCAGCTATTAATATTTTACTACAAAAGGGGATGCTCAGCAAAGCTTGCTGGTTAAATAATTAAATAAAGACGCTGAATTCACATATCATCTTGGCTCATCTGGGATTTCACTGCTACCTGACAACCCTCCTACAAATTCCTTACATTTAATGTGTGTCTCTTCCATGCCTATCAAGCCCCAACTCCTTCCTCGACCCCAGCAAATAATATTGGGTTGCCTGGAAAGTCATGACACATTTTTGCATAGACAAACAGAAAAATACATCATGATTTCCCTGAAAACTTATTATCATCTGATAAGAACTTTCCTAACTCTGTTTCACTTCCAACATCTTTAGCAATCTTTCTTCCTGCCTCAGAAGAGAAACTATATCTAAATCTTTTACCAAATGAACCACTGCAAAACCCATTCCAAAAACAAAACAAAACACCTTTCCATCAACTGACTACTCTCCAAGTTATTGCCTCATTTTTTTCTCCTTCCTTTTACACCATGTGTTTCAAAACTGTACTCCACACTTGGCCTGCCATGCTACTTTGCCTTTTAGTCACTCAACATACACAATCTAGCCTCCCACCGCCCCATCTCACACAGCTTCTTTTTCAAAGATCAAACATGACAGCAAGTGGTGGGATGTTAGCGGTTGGTGTAATGGGTTACAGAAGCACACAAGTCCCCAGATCCCACCCTCAGCTCTCTTCACCCTCTCTCTCCTCTTCTCTGCACTGGTGCCCCGGGTGATCTCTTTCAGTTCCCAGTTTCAACTATCACCTTACACTGAAGAGATGTGAATCTCTATTTCTTTTTCTTTCTTTTCTTTTCTTTTCTTTTCTTTCTTTCTTTCTTTCTTTCTTTCTTTCTTTCTTTCTTTCTTTCTTTTTTTTTTTTGAGAGTTTTTTGCTATAGGGCACGTACGCTTGCCAGAAAGAGAGACAGAAAGCGAGAAATCATCCCCTGGGGGGATGGCCACGTCACAATTCCTTCTCCATTCTCCTCTTGGGATCTTGGGCACGTATGCACACGTGCCCTGTATGCACACACGCCCTGCATGAGTTTAAGCTTAAGCCACCAGGTCGAGGATCTGAACTGCGGTTGACTACATGGGAGTCCAGCAACATAGCCATTACGCCAACTGCTGGTCCCCGCGAATCTCTATTTCATCCTGGCCTTTTCTGCCCTAAGTTAGCCCTGACCTCCATGTGCCTGGTGGATGGTCTTTATCTGAATGTCACATAGACGCCTTAAACTCAGCACATTCCTAAGTTGCCCTCATTTCCTTTCCCTAAGCTCTGCCCACCCCAGGCACATCTTGCCCCAAGGGCATCACATCACTATCTACCCAGGTGCCCAAACCTGGGATCACCTTTTATTCCTTCTCCTCTCTCACCAGTTGGTAAGTTCTACTGACTTGATCTCTGTGATGTCTTGTTGCCATCCCCTCCTTTTTGTTTTCATTCCTACTGCTCTTGTTAAGCCTGTCATTTCTCTTCTCTTGTAACAGCCTCCTAGATAGTTTATGCCGATCCAGTAAACATTGACTTGAAAAATGTGACCAGTCCCCTCTGATGTGATCTGAGGATTGATCACATCCTCTGATCAATTCAGTTCTCACTGCCTTAAGAACAAACTCCAAGCTCATCACAGTATTAAAGGCCCCAAGTACTTCCCAACTCCCCACACCCACTGCCATTTTCAGTGTTCTAGTCCCAGCAGACTGAACTGAAGGATCCCCTCGGGAAGCCTTCTGATTATTGTATAAATCTTACGGGTTGCGCATCCCTAATACAAAATCTGGCATATTCCAAGATCTGAAACCTTTTAAGTGCCAAATTGACACCTTAAGTGGAAAATGTTAAACCTGATCTCATGAGATGGGACTGCAGTGGAAATGCTACAACACCGTAACACTGTCTACAATTACCTTTGGGTTGTGCATATGAGGTGAAACAGAATGAATGTCCTATTTGGACTTGGGTCCCCTCGCCAAGGTATCCCATTATGTATAATATGAAAATATTCCAAAATCTGAAATCAGAAACACTTTAGGTAAGGGATATTTAACCTGTATTCCCTCTTTCGGACTTCCATGGCATTTAAAACATTAAAACAAAATTATTACTGAGATAATTCACGTAAGATAAATGTCACCATTTTCAGTGTTCAGTTCAGTTGCTTTTAATGTATCTGTGGAGTGTGCACCTTTCTCCACTAATAACAGAACATTTCCACCCCCCCAGCAAGACAGCTGGGATCTGGGTGCAATCACTCCCAATTGCCCCTTCCTTCCTCTGGCAACCACTAATCTACTTTATGTCTTTATGGACTTGCTTATTCTGGAAGTTTTCCATATAAATGGAATTATACAATATGTGGACATTCGTGTCTGGGTTTTATACTTAGCATAATGTTTTCAGGGATTTTTCATATTAGAGTATGCATTAGCACTTCCTTTTCAGGGCTGAATAATATTCCACTACACAGATATACCATATTTTGTTTACCTATTGATCAGCTGATAGACATTTGGGTTGTTTTCTCCTTTTTGGCTGTTATAAATGCCTGTGTACAACTTTTTGGGTGAGTATATGTTCTAAACCTCTTGGGTATACAACCAGGAGCGGGAATTGCTGGATCACTTAGTACCTCTGTGCTAACATTCTGAAGAACTGCCAAACTTTTCCAGAGTGGCTGCCCTAGCTTACATTTCTACCACCAATGGGAATAGATTAGGAGAGTGAACATGTAGACCAAATATAAACAAACATTTCTCTACGTCCTCACCGACACTTGTTATTTTCCATGATTTTAGTTACAGGCATCATAATGGGTGTGAGGTAGTATCTCCCTGTCATTTTGTTTTCTACCTCCCAGTGACTAACAATATGGAGCATCTTTTCACGTGCTTACTGGGCATCTGTATGCCTTGTTTCTTTGAAAAGAACTGTCTGTTCAAATTCTTTGCACTTTTAACTGGGTTGTCATTTTACCACTGAGTTATGTCTAAATATTCTAGTATTAGACCCATATCAGATACATAATTTACAAATATTTTTCCCAGTCTGTAGGATATCTTTTTAATTTCTTGATAGTGTCCTTTGATGTATACATTTTTATTTCAGACAAAAATCCAACTTATATTTTTTGGTTGTGCTTTTGGAATCCTATTTAAGAAGTCACTTCCTGATCCCATCTCATAAAGATATGAATCTATGTTCTTTTCTGAGCTTTATAGCTTTTTATTTAACTTTATTTGTTTGTTTTAATTTGACCAGAGAGAGACAGAGTGAGAGAGTGAGAGAGACAGAGAAAGAGAGAGAGAAAGAGAAAGAGAGAGAGAAAGAGAGAGAGAGAAAGTGAGAAAGCAAGCCGCTAGTTCCAGGACTCGAACTACAGTTGGTCATGTGGAAGTCCGTGTCTTTAACCATGACACCACCTGCTGGCCTCAAGTTTTACAGTTTTAAAAAATAGTTTTAGTTCTTACAGTTAAGTCTTTCATTTATTTTGAATTAAGTTTTATTGTGTGAGGTAGGTGTCTAAATTCATTCTTTGCATGTAGATACCCAGTTGTCCCACCACCACCTGTGGAAAAGACTATCCTTTCTCTATTGAATAGGTACCTCTGTTGAAAATCAACTAACCATGTATGTATGAGTTAATATCTGGACTCTAAATTCTATTCCATTTATCTATAGGTCTACCCTTATACCAGTGCCATAATGTTTTGATTATCCTATGACATTTATCAATATATAAGTACCAGTATGTATTATAATGTAGTATATCTTCATTCATCATCTATATCTTCCGAAATTACTAACTTTGTAAAGGAAAGGTTCATCTCTTTTTTTTTTTTTTTTTTGAGAGTTTTTTTGCTACAGGGCGCGTTCGCTTGCCAGACTGACAAAGAGAGACATAGAGACAGAAAGCAAGAAATCACCCCCAGGGGGGATGGTCACGCCGCAATCCCTTCTCCTCCATTCTCCTCTCGGGATCCTGGGTACACATGCACACGCTCCTGGCGTGAGTTTTAAGCCACCGGGTCCGGGACGCGAACCGCGGTCAACTACGTGCGAGTCCAGCGACATAGCCATTACGCTAACTGCTGGTTCCCATCTCTTGTTTACCTTTGTAACCATTCCACTTCCTGGCCTTCACACCACCCCATCCACTGCTCCAGCACACATACACTACCTAGCGCGAAGCAAGGACTCAGTGCTTGTTAGATGGATGAATTTTTCTGTCTGTGCCTTGGACCCATGCTGCTCATCCACTGGCATTCCTTCTCCTTTTCTTTTGCCTATTAACATCCCTCTCTTCAAGGCCCAGATGAAATAGTATCCCCTCTATGAAGCATTTCCCCACATTTCCCATTATTACTTTCTTTCTTCCTTATTCTCCCATTGCAAGCTCTTTGTTCCTCCCATACTCCCTCCTACTGTAATCTGAATATCCCCCATTCAATTTCTTTCTTTCTTTTTTAGTATTTGCTATAGGCCATGTGCGTTAAAGAGACAGAGAGAAAAAGAAGGAAAGTGAGAAATCAACCCTTCCCCCAGGGGGATGGCTACAATCCCTTCTCCTCCACTTTGCTCTCAGGATTTGGGGCATACACACAGCCAGTGTGATTCTCAAGCTGTCCGTGTCCGGGACTCGAACCACAAAGATTTATCATGTGGGATCTGGCACCTTAACTTGCATGCCACCCGCTGGTCCCTTCCCCATTAGATTTTAAACATGTTGAGGGAAAGAATGGTCTAATCCTTTTCACTTCTGTATACTATCAGAATTAAAGCAATGCTTTACATACAGTGGCACTTCACAGAAATTTGCTGAATTGAAATGAATGGGTGAGGATATTGCCCCAAAAAACCAGTTATAATAGGAATCTGGCTATTCATTGTCAGCCAGATTAGTCTTATTCTCTGTGCACATCATTTCCTGGGTCTGAAACTCTCTCTTCATCCCCTCACCAGCAGGCCCTACCTCTATCCGTCTGGCCCCGCATGCCCCGCCCATTCCCACCTCACCTCCCTCTACTCTTCTCTTCCTTGGGAACATCCAAGGTCAATTCCAAATGACTCTGATTTCCCTCAGTTCCGCCATTCCCTCATTTAGGCCACCTACCCTGTCACATCTTTATGTCCTTTCCACATACTCACTATCCTAACCCCATCATCCATGGAACTCTATTGCCCTATTCACATCTGGTCAAATTCAGCTTCAACAAATTCTACTGGCCAATGACATTTCTTTAATGATCTGAAAATTTTATTTTTTAAGGTTTACTATGATAGCATATGGGCTGTAAATTAAGTTGTACACACTGGCAGAATACTCTGATAAAATATTATCTCTGAAAGCAATGGCCTGTCTACTCTCCGCAGTAACCTTACCTGTAACTCTTTCTCCTCCTGCCTCAGCATATTCTTGAGGATTTGGGTGGCATGTTTTTGAACTTCAGGATCCTAGGAATGGAAAATAGGACAGTAGTGAGAGTTGGGATTCATTCAATAGCTAATCTATTCTACCTGCTGATTCTGAGGCAAGGAAAGCTGCAGAGCCCGGGTCATCAGCATGTTTGTGTAACACTCAGTACCTTGCTGGAATGCAGCAAACATCAACTCTTACTCTACTCCTGGACTTCTTAGAAAACTTGGCTGTGGGACCAGCAGTTAGCATAATGGCTATGTCGCTGGACTCCCATGTAGTCAACTGCGGTTCGCGTCCCGGACCCGGTGGCTTAAACTCACGCCGGGCGCCTGTGCGCGTGTGCCTAAGATCCTGAGAGGAGAATGGAGGAGAAAGGATTGTGGCGTGACCATCCCCCCTGGGGGGCGATTTCTCGCTTTCTGTCTCTCTGTCTCTCTCCGTCTGTCTGGCAAGCACACGCGCCCTACAGCAGAAACCTCTAGAAAACTTGGCTGTAATCATCTCTGGTACCAGTTTGCTCCCTAAAGGACTTGCTGGTTCAGTCCTCTTTCCTTTTTTTAACTCTCCAAGAGCCCCCCGAGTATCTTCCCCATATCTAGAAACAGATGTTTCTGTCTGATAACACCTCATTTGTATTCACACCGTGGAAGACACCAGGGTATGGACAATCCCTTTCATGCTGCTCTCCTTTTTGTTCAGCTCTTGGATGGTTTTTCATTACCTTCCGGCTTGTCTCGCTTTATCACAAACTCTAATGGGGAGTTCTTCAAGGGGACAACACAACAGAGGGGGACCATTACCTGCAGAGGTTTGGGTCCAGTGATGCGCTGTGGAGGCGGCAGAGGTGGAGGAGGTGGTGGTGGGGGGATCACAGAGGTGACTCGGGGAGCTCCTGCTGGGGATGGATCCTGCTGGAGCCCAGAGACACCGACAGATGCAGGTGAGGAGCCCAGGAGGGTCAGTGCGACGTAGGCACCAGCTGGAAGAAGACAGAGAGGCTTGCTCAAGTGGTGCAGACACTCAGCTGCAAAGGAGGCAACTCTTCTCCCTCTTCCTTTCACTGTACTCATCATTCTGTTGATCAAGTTCTCACTTTTCATGCCCCACCCACCCTAAACCCTGCCCTCGACGTAGGCACCAGCTGGAAGAAGACAGAGAGGCTTGCTCAAGTGGTGCAGACACTCAGCTGCAAAGGAGGCAACTCTTCTCCCTCTTCCTTTCACTGTACTCATCATTCTGTTGATCAAGTTCTCCTCACTTTTCATGCCCCGCCCACCCTAATCCCTGCCCTCCTACCCTGTATCTACCCAAGAACCACCTCCCTCTCTTCCTCAACTAAAATTCTACCCATAAGTACCCAGAACACTCCTCACAGCCCGCCTCATCAGTCCCTTGTCTCCTCCTCTATCTCACTATATTAGAAAGCCCCCAGCATGCTCCCTGACTACACACGGCAGGAACCCAGAGTCTAGTCCACCCTCCCCAACCTCCTAAATCCTTTACTTTTCCCCTCAGCATTTGTTGATTCTATTTGATTATCTGTGCAGACTCAATCGTTGGGTCTTGCTGGCTACAAACAGAACATTTTGGAAACAAATGAGGAAGAGTGTCTGTGAATGGGACAGGGAGTCAAATGGTATATGAGTGAGATGTGGCCTCAGTAGGATATGGTCTAAACAGGAGTAGCAATGATGGGTGCTGTACAATCAAAGATGTCTGATGAGAGAGTAATGGTGCCTCCACTTGGAGTGATAACAGGGAGCTGTGACCACTAGCGGATCACTACATGTCAAGATTAAAGATGTGAGTCCAGCTGCCTCAAACATTGCAGGAGAAGCCCCTGGGGACAGCAGGCCTGCCCCTCCCTCTCGGCCCATCTGCTAGCCCCCTTACTTTCTTTAGTTGTCACCTCTCTCCAACTCACATTTGATAAGCTTCACCACCTCCAGGTGTGAGCTGTTGGTCACCATGGTGCCATTGACCTATTGAAGGGATAAACAGTATTGAGTAATGGTGATGGAAACTCAGGGAATCCTTCTGTAAATGCAATATGCCACTTCTTTAGGAAGCCATTTTCTAGTCGCTTGTTTACTCAAATTCACATTACGAGTTGTTCCTGCTCACATCTGCTATGTGCTCTGTCTCCCCAGCTAGCTTCTAAGTTTTCAGGGATAAGACTGTGTTTCCACTGGTTTGTTTGTTTGTTCACTTATTCTTTCCTGATCATCTGCTCCACACACATATGTATGTCAAGTGACCCAGTGGGCTTCCTCTTTACTGGAAAACTGCGGTGTCTCTGCACCTAGGATTTCCTTAACACTTCCTGGACCCTGTTTTGCAGAAGAAATGCCTGAATGAACTAGATAAAAGTCACTCAGAGCTAACAAGGACCTCAGGTCAGCCTTGCAGGGAGGGCTGAGTAGTACCCTCAGAATTTGAAGGCTTGAGTCCTTCACTAGTCATGACCCCTCCCTCCAAATCTGATTTCTGTCATTTGTGAAATGGGAATAATAAAACCTGTTTTAGCTCAGTTGCTCTAGAGTCTAGAAGGGCCTGGAATACAGAGCCCAGATAACTAAGTCCCCAGTTTCTCTCTCACCATCCACTGTGCTCCCTTTTCCCGTTCCATTCCCTGAGTCAGCAGCCGCTGGCAGTGGTGCTGGAACTCAGGTATGCATGCTGGGCCAAGCCGAGTGGCTTGCACACATCGCTGGGGGAAGTGGGGTTGATGCACTCACTTTGATGATCCGGTCGCCCTCTTTCACACCAGCTTTCATGGCTGCACCTCCTGAAAGGAGAAGGCCTGGTCAGCAAAGTCTAACGACCTCTTCCAGAGGTGGGTGAATCTACACCAAGGTCCTGTCGGATCGTTTCCCCTGGGAAGTCTCCCTGTACTGAGGACCTTGAGCATTGGGCGCACATCCTGCTCTGCTCCAGTGACACAACTACTCTTAATCTAGAGTGGACTGAAAGGTCAGACTTCATCCCTCCGCCGGGCACAGAGGCCAGACTTCTGATAGCCAGCCAAGGCAGGGTTGGGCAGGGCTGGACACACGCTTTATCTGAACGTGTTTGGATGTGCTCCAAGGCCAAACAGGAGTTCTTTTTCTTTCTTTTTCTTTAATTTTACTTATTTCCTCTGCGAGAGAGAAAGAAACAGGACCTTCCAACTGGGTCCCCGTACCATGACCTACCTTGGCTTCAGCCACCCTGGATCATGGGTGTGTGCACGCACTCAGAGAGACGCAGGATGAGAACCTGGGGCCCTCCCATGTAGATCTAGTGGTATATATTACAATTACGTCACCATCTAGCCCAGTGTTATTTCTTACCCAGTAGGAAAAATGAGTTTAATGTATTAAATACAATGACTAAAGTCATAATAATTATTGAGTGGAATATGGAGAAAGAATTTTCTGATGGTTCCTAAATCCTGAGAGGTTCATAAAGATATTCTGGGGGTTCAGATCATTAAAGATGATAATAACTATTTTACTTTCTGTTAAAAACATTATTCAGGGCCAGCCTGTGGTTTGGTGGTTAAGGTGTTGGATCCCACATGGCCAACCGTACAGTCTGAATCCCAGACCTGGTGGTATGAAAAACATGCTAGGTGCATGTGTGTGCATGCCTCTAAAATCCCAAGAAGAGAGTAGAGAAGAAACTGTGGTGTAGCCATCCCCCTGGGAGGTACTTTCTCATTCAGCTCTCTCTCTCCTGACTGCCCCCCCTTCACATCGCTCTGGTGAACACACACACTATAGCAAAATTTTTTTTTTTTTTTTTTTGGAGAGATTTTCACTGTAGGGCGCGTGCGCTCGCCAGACAGACAGAGAGAGACATAGAGACAGAAAGCGAGAAATCAGCCCCCAGGGGGGATGGTCACGCCGCAATCCCTTCTCCTCCATTCTCCTCTCGGGATCTTGGGCACGCACGCACACGCACCCGGCGTGAGTTTTAAGCCACCGGGTCCGGGACACGAACCGCGGTCGACTACGTGGGAGTCCAGTGACATAGCCATTATGCTAACTGCTGGTTCCCAGTATAGCAAATTTTTAAAAAAATTATTTTAAACTATTTGCAGTTTCTCCCTTGAAAATGGACCAGATTAGGAGCTCCTGATGCTGGGATCTGCAGGTGGCGTAATGGCTATGTCACTGGACTCCCATGTAGTTGATCATGGTTCAAGCCCCAGACCGGTGGCTTAAACTCACGCTGGGCACATATGCGTGCAGATCCGGGCCAGAGATCTGGGCCAACCCCCCTGGGGGGGGTAATTTCTTGCTTTCTGTCTCTCTGTTTCTCTCTTTCTGGGGAGCACACACACCCTATAGTAAACCCTCCCCCCCAAAAAGAAAAAAAGAGCTTCTGATGCTGACTGAAAAGTGCTCAGAAAGTGCTCTTGACCATTTCTGGCCATCACTCAACTGGTTCTGACCACTATATAGTTTCAAATGATTTCTATCTCTAGTTTAATTTGTACCCAGGAAGCATAAGAAACACTAAAGCTAAAACAAGTTAATGAGAAGCATCAAAATTATATTTTGTAAAATTGCCAAGATGATCATTAAATCTGCAAGTTGCATTCATCTGATCACAACAAAACACCCACGAAGCGCAGCTAGACGGTTCTGGTCTAAAAAGAAAACATACAGTGATGACTCCATTCCCACTTTGCTTTTCAATACTGGGACCAGACTGCTCTCATCCAAAGTGTGCTATTTATGGAGGAGTTCTTGCAAATAGCTTGAAACTCTCTTTTATACTGTCATCTAAACACTGACGCTACAGAGGAAAGAGTTATCTTGCCTGGATGCATGAAACACATGAAGTGACTTCTAACAACATATGGAGTTTTTTAAAAATCAGACTCTTTGAGGGACTGGCAGGTGGCGTGGTGCTTAAGGTGCTGGACTCCAACATGGCCAACCAAGGTTCGAGGCTTGGACCAGGCAGCTTGCTTTCTCACATTCTCCCTCTCTTTCTCTATCTCTGGTCAAATTTGAAAATAATAAATAAATAAATAAGACTCTACAGACTAAAGGAATTTGAACAGAAGTTCTCAGTCTTCAGAAAGCATGAGAATCACTGGGGCAATTTGTTAAGAAGCGTATTCTTTGGCCCCCTTGCCAGAAAGTGATTCAGTTCTTTTGGGGTTTGACCCAGGAAGAGGAATGCCAATCATCTTAGGGCCTGATGTAGACAGGATGCAGACTATTCTTTGAGAAACGCTGCACTAAAGAAACTCAGTATCTGGAAAAGACAATGACAAGTGCCCTGCTAACATCGTGATTTCAGGGACCAGCAGATGGCATGGTGGTTATGTTGCTGGACTCTGACATGGCTGACTGTGGTTCTAGTCCTGGACCTGGCTGGAAACTCATGCTGCATGCATGTAGGTGCATGCCCAAAATCTCGAGAGGAGAATGAAGAAGGGACTGCAGTGTGGCCATCCTCCCTAGGGAGTGACTTCGCACTTTCTGTCTTTCCAGCAAACATACACACCCTATAGCAAAAATCTCTCTCTAAAAAAAAAAGTGATTTTAATGAAGTGATTTAATCTAAATGAAGTCTCTTCCGCTCTCCTCCCCAACACACACACACACACGCACGCACGCACGCACGCACACCAATCTCCTATTTCACTGTAGGATTTTTTTTATTTTTAAAATTTTTTAGGCTTTTTTTTTTTTGGAGAAGTTTTTGCTATAGGGCGTACACGCTTGCCAGAAAGAGAGAGAGACAGAGAGATAGAAAGCGAGAATTCACCCCCCAGGCGGGATGGCCACGCCACAATCCCTCCTCCTCCATTCTCCTCTCGGGATCTTGGGCACGCACGCACACGTGCCCGGCGTGAGTTTAAGCCAACAGGTCCGGGACTCAAACTGCAGTCGACTACATGGGAGTTCAGCAACAAAGCCATTACATTAACTGTTGGTCCCTGTAGGTTATTTTTTGTTCTTTCCTCTCTGGATTTGATTATGCTCAGCCTAAGAGGAAGAAAAAAAAAATAAGCGCAGGAGAGCTGAACTCATACTTCTCTGGAGGTGATCCCATACTTGCTGTATCAAACAGATCATAGAGGCTAAGTACAAACGACTGGCAGTCCTGCTAGCTCTGCCTCGCCCTAATCCACGAACCCTGAGAATTAAGGGGAGCAAAGAATAAAACTATGTTGTTAGAACTTTACCCTGGGATATGAAAAACCCGCTGATAAAAGTTAACTCCAAAACAATAGAAGCAAAAATTATCTACATTTTGTAGGGTCTATATGTCTTTTTTTCAAAAATAATAATTTATTATTTATTATTATTATTATTGTTATTATTATTCAGTTTGACCAGGGAGAGACACTGAGAGAGAGAAAGCAAGCCATCAGGTCCGGGACTCAAACCACAGTCAACCATGTGGGAGTCCAGCACCTTAACTACCACACCACATGCCAGCCCCAGGATCCATATATCTTATTCAGGTCATCAATTTGAAGCTGTCTTTTCTCCTGTAAACATATCCCAATCATTCTCTAAAATTACTCCAAGTGTATTTTCCGTGTCCTCTTGTACTCTCCCTGGTGTGAGTGCCAGCTTGCCCCCTGCCCTTGTGCTCTCCTTCAGCCATGCCATCATGCTCTGTGTCACTGACCCAATCCCATGAACTACACTGACTTTCACCCACTTCAGGAATACCTTCGTTATACTCTCCCTCCCATGCCCCATCTCCTTCCAGATCTCTTCTTCAGCCGGGCTCGTTTCACCACCTGGCACTCGACAGAGCTCCAACTGCCCACCTCCGCCTAAGTAGTCACCTGAGGGATCTGCCTGGGATGCCCGCCCTTCCGCCAAACTGCCATCTGGCTGATCCGTGTTTCATTCCCATCACCAAAAATGTTCCTGCAATCCAATTTCCTCTAAGAGGGCTTCCCAAACTGATCAGAAAGGAAATGACTAAGCTTGAACCACAAACAACCCAAATAAGACTAACTTCCAAATACTGCCTCTCTGACAAAAAACATTTACCCGTTGGCTATTTGTTACTTAGCGTTCACTATATCTGCAAGTGTGTTCTAGGCCGTCTGGACCACTGCGCCGTCTCCACTGTAAACCTCTGGGGAAGGTGACCGTCTGGACACCTTGCCAGGCAGAATGAAGGTGTGTATGAGGAAGGGGCCTTTGATTCCTCCTCAGCATCTTCTGACCCAGAACGAGGGGCCTTACAGTGCTGGTATCGCACCTCCCAGCTGCGGATGTGATCTCTGGAGATTAAGCCTAATGGCTTAGTGTGGCGGAGACTTCCCCAGACTCCTGTGGAGAACCTATTCTATAGCAATTTACTCGTGTCCCCCAGGGGTCCCCAGAACCCCAGGAAAGCACACGTTCTCTGAGTCGGGAGGCACTGTTGCATACACAGTGCTTTGTAAGTGTCCACTGCAGGCAGGAGGGACGCACACTCACCAGGCCGCACAGACTGCACCAGCACGATGCGGTCCCCACTGACCGTGAAGCCAAAGCCATGCTGGTCCTTCTGGATGATGACACAGCGCTGTACAAGACCTGGCAGGAGGCAAGAACGAGACAGGAGGGGTTGGGTAGGCAGTGCACCACCAAGGTTGGTGCACGCAGGCAAAGACCAACCCAAGCGCCAGTGCCTTTGCCCTCGAGAACCCTTCCAGACTAACCAAATCCCCCAGGCTGCTCCTGTCCACACGTCCAAACACATGGTGCCTCCCTCGGTGCCTGGTAAAGACCTGTCACCTACTTCCCATTCCCCACAAGAAATTATCCTTCTGAGGGGCTGAAATGCTGGTCTCTCTTGTACATGTCTGTCCTTTTTGGTTTGTCTGGGTGAGACTGGCCAAAGAAGGGCAGGGCTAGGTCCAGCGCCTCTCCTAAGACTAATATTGCAGGTAAGCAGTGCCCCAGGCCCGAGGCCCAAGTAAGGCTGGAAGCTGATCCCATGAGCACAGAGGTGGACACCATGCTTGCTGATCTTTATGCAGAGCTGGATAACTCACACAGGGGTGACTCAGGTTGGTTCCCTGCCAAACGCAGGGAAGGATAAATGACAGGAGAAAACCCGTTCATTCACATGGACATCCATACACAGAACATAGGAAAAAACAAATCAACCAGAAATCCCAGAGGCTACTACCAAGCGTCTCCATCCCTGCGGAATGTTCCAGCATCATGCATGTGTGACTGAAGCCTGTAATGATTAGAGCATGGATTCCAGAGTCAACACAGATCTGGTTTCAAGTCCCGGTTCTGTTCCCACAAGCTTATACACCAGGGCAAATTTCCAAACCCCTCTGTGCCTCAGCTTCCTCATATGCAAAATAAAGATGTAAACCAAATCTACTTTCTGCAATTGATATGAGGAGGCAATTTTTATGAACGAGGCAATTTATATAAACCCTGTAACACAATGCCTAGAACACATTGTGTTTCCGATCAATAAGTTGTTTTACATTTGGGGCATGCAGGCACGTCTATGTGGGCATACTCCTGTGTCTATGTATACGAGGGGGAGGTTACCTGTGGTCTCGGAGGTATCAGATGGCTGGCGATGGTGGGAAGGGGACTTGCGCTCAGGTGCAGAATCTCCCAGAGAAGACAGGCTGCTTAACCTGGGGAAGAAGGAGAGCACATCAATGAGCTGGGCAGAGGGACCAACCATGTAGAGAAGGAGGCTCTGTGCAAGGGGACTCTGAGTCTTGAATCATGAGAGACTGACCCACCCTCCCTACAACCCATTTGATCTGGTAGATTAGCCAAATCTACACCTCTGGCAATACCATCTGTCTGGAATCCTGGGCCAGCAGGGCAAGCGTGATCTCTTTAATACCCAGCAAGGCGTGAAGGGAAATAGCCCTTCCTGGAGGCAGGTGACTGAGAGACAATAGCAAGAAGGGAGGTGTGCACACACACGCTTGTGGGGTCTTACCAGGCTGCAATGGGGCTGATGGAACAGAACGGAGCAGCAGAGAAAATGAATGCAAGAAAAAGACAGGAAAAAACAAACAAACAGCAGGTTAGTTTTAGGTGATGATTTGCACAGGAAGGGAAGCCTGGAGAGAGGGGTGTGGCAGGTCAAACACATAGGGGGTCTGCATGAACGGAGCAGAGGACTGCAGTGGCTGTAGCAGAGGTGAGCTCCCCCTATTCTAGCTTTTCTCCTTGTCCCTCAAAGTCCCACCTCTCCAAACCAGTGGTCTTCAAGAGAGTGACTGGGAATTCAGTACTAAGCAGTGGGGTAAGAGGCAACTTGCAGTTCTCTAGAAAGGAGCACAGCAGTGGCCCGAGTCTCTGAAAATTCCACTCATCTTTTGGGTTTCACAGGAGGAGGAATCTGGTCTGTTTGGTAGTAGTGTTCCAACCGCACATGCAGCCCTGTTCCTAAAGCCAGCCTGGGCATCTTGCTCAGAAATTATTAAAAATCCTAAAACCTCCAGGCACCATCGGTCATCACCCCAGAGAGTCATTGCTTGACCTCTTTAAACAGGAACCTTGCAGAAACAGAGTAAGTTAACTAGGACCCCTACAAGAACAGAAGGGATTTAAATATTGCCGCACCCCACCCCTTTAAGAAAATTATACAAGTTGAAAGTTTTCTTGTAAGTAGTTGCTGCTCCTTAGAAAGGGGCAATTTCTATCAACAGTAAGTGACTAAGTAGAAGGTTATTTGTGGAAGCGACATGTGTAATGGCAAAACACTAGAAATAATGTAAATGCTCACGACAGGTGACTGGCTAAGGAAATGACAGAATGTCAATATAAGGACCCAGAACTTGGCCCTACATACAAAACGAGGGGCTCTTTATATAAGGAGTGACCTCCTCATGCGGTGTGACTGAGTTGATAAAAGCAAGTTATGAAATTATCTGGGTAGTAAAAAAGTGAGTACAGAGAGAAGAAAATTATTTATGTATGTTTATGTATTTGTTTGCATATCAAAATATCCCTGAAAGGGAACAAAAGAATTATCTCCTTGACTGCCTCTGAGGAGGCAAACTAGGGCGGCTGGGGTACAGAGGTGTGATCGATCGGGAGACTTTTCATTGTATTTCCTTTAGTACTCTTTAAATTCTGAACTATGTGAAGTTCTCACGTATTAAAAAAAACTAAAAGAAACAAATAACTTAAATAGAAAGGAAGGGGTCTTTGTCTCCCCTCACAGAGGCACCCCTCTTACCTGGACAGGTGAGACTGCTTTTTACTGGCTGATCTTTGGATCAGAGAGAGAAGGACATCAAGGAAGAAGAGAGCGTGGGGCCCAGGAGAGAGCGATGCAGGAAAGGAAGGAGAGAGAGAAAGAAAAACAAAATACGACATAAACCAGACAAGACACTGGAAATGGTTGGTTCAAAAGAAAAACCACAATTGAGTTCAGAAGAGCCCGGGGTGGAAACTGGCCACAACACAGCAGTGAGCTAAATACAATGCAGATGTGCCAGTGACATTTGCTCCTTCAGACTTGTCAGAACCTCCCACTGTACTCAGGAGAAAGGTTGCAGCGTCTTCAGCATCTAGCAGGATCTGACGCCCAGGTAAGCACCCTGTGATGCCTTCCACAGCCTCACCCCATCCTCCCTGCAGCCCATGGCATGTAACTTGACATAGAACTTCCTAGTCTCACCCAGACAGGATTCCAAGCATGTTTACATGCCCCATCGTGTGAAGCTGTAGCGTCACTGCAGTGCTGAGCCCTGGACGATCAGGGTCTGGCTCCAGGGCCAACCTGTACATGCGGGTGTGCAGGCAAATGCCCGCAATCCCAGCTGACAGGCAAGGTGTGAGAGGAGGATGGTGGTGTGAGACTCTGTTGAGGGTGTTTCTCTGTCTCTGATTAAAAAAAAAAAAAAAGTTTAAGGCCAGCCGCTGGGATGGTGGTTAAGGTGGCTGGATCCCACATGGCTGACTGTGCAGTTCGAGTCCTGGACCTGGTGGCCTGGAAAACACTCTAAGCGCATGTGTGTTCATGCCCAAAATCCCAAAAGGAGAAATGGAGACGGGATTGAGGCATGGCCATCCCTTATGGGGGTGCTTTCTTACTTTCTCTTTCTCTCTGGTGTATGCCTGTGGCCTCTAGCAAATTTTAAAAAGAGTTTATATTAGGGCTGGCAGGTGGTGTGGTGATTAAGGGCACTGGACTCCCACATGGCTGATCACGGTTCAAGTTCTTGACCTAGCGGTTTGCTTTCGCTCTCTCTCTCTCCCTGTGTGTGGCCCTATCTGGTCAAATTAAAAATAAATAAATAAATAAATAAATGAATGAATGAATAAATAATTCTTTTTTTTTAAAAAGGTCTCTTCATGTTTTAAAAAATGTTTATATTGCATAATGATCAATCTGGGCAATAAACTACCCACCACCTCAAACACTGACGATCACTTTGTGTTATACACATTCGAAATCCACTTTCCTGTTTTGAAATACACGTTGAAATGTCACCAACTCTTGTTATGTCATGGTGCTATAGTATTCTAGAATCCATTCCACTTATATTCTAGAACCCATTCCACTTATCTTCTATCTCTTAACCAAGTTTTCCTACACCCCCTTCCCCCCCACACCCTCACTTCCATCCTCCTTCCGGTTTCTCTATCCTGTTTTGCTCTTCCCATCTATGTGGTTGAATCTTTTAGCTTCGATAAATGAATGAGGACATGTGGTATTTGTCTTTCAGTGCCTGATTAATTTCCCTTAGCATTATTTCCTCCAGATTCATCCATGTTGCCTCAAATGACTAGAATTCATCCTTTTTTTAATGGCCAAATAACATTCCATGGTGTACAGGACACATTTCCTTTATCCACGCATGAGCTGTTGTGTACTTCGGTCAATCCTACTATCCTAGCTTCTGTGAACAGTGCTAGAGCGAACACAGGAGTGCAGACGCTCTTAAAAAAAAACCCTTGGGCTACACATATCCAGTAGTGGGATCACTGGTCCAGATGGCATTTCTTTTTTAAGTTTTAGAAGATGTATTTGGAACCTGGTAACTTTTAACCTGGGTTGGTTTGCATTTCAGCTGGGGCATGAGGGTTCCACATAATCTAAGGCAAGTGAAGCAAAGGTCCATGGGCCTCGCTGCAGAGGACTATCAGACAAAGATCACTTCAGAAGCCATGAACGTTCCCCTTAAAAACAAATAAAAACAACAACAACAAAAAATGCACAGGCTAGGGCAAGCACTTGTTCCCAGGGCTGGGAACAAGTATGCTGCAAAATAAATATAACTACAACAGATGTGTATATATATATATATTTTTTTCCTTTTTGAGAGATAGCAGAGGAAAAACTACCAATGAATTGAGAAGAGAGGAAAGCCCGTAAAGGCAGGCCTAGTGTGCAGAAAGAACGGACAAAATATTAAGTCAGTTGGGTTTTGAGTCTGAGCACATTCAGGAGGACGTTGTTGGAAGGCTAAAATCTGAGGGGAAGGGGAGAGGAATACAGTTTGAAACGAAATGGAGCTTGTCAGAGGGAGAAAAAAAGACTTTAATAGTGGGCCCTCCCTCTTCTTGATGACATTCCCATAAAAATCAACAGCAGAGCTCAGATTCTACTCAGGCTAAACCTGGGGGTATGGAGGAAGGCCAGGAGAGGGGAGAATTTCCCCCTTGATCTGTGCTAAGTAGCATTCTGATCGAACTTCTCACTTGCTTCCTCTATCTGGTCAAAGACCTGCAGGTCCTTTACCATCTTTTCTCAGGGTGGCATCTTTCTTTACATCATTGCAGACACCATCACTTTAAGCCACATGCCCACTGCCTCAAGCCTAGATTATCAGGAAGAGCCTGGTTCCCACCCTCCACCCATCCAGCACTCCAGCACAAGGGACTAGCCTCCCCAGTCTTTTCCCTGCTCCCTCCATCAAGAACCTGTAATTTCTGTCCTTACTATCTAAACAATCAGATGCATATGCACTAGCCTGGGAATATGGTCCTCTTACTCGTGGATCCAAAAATTTACCTTTTTTTTTTTTTTGAGAGAGAGATTTTTGCTATAGGGCGTGTGTGCTTACTAGAGAGACAGAGACAGAGAGACGGAAAGTGAGAAATCACCCGCCTGGGTTGATTTCTCCCCAATCCCTTCTTCTCCATTCTCCTCCTGGGATCCTGGGCACACATGTACATACGCCCAGTGTGAGTTTCAAGCTGCTGGGTCTGGGCCTTGAAGTGCAGTTGGTCCCGTGGGAGATTAGCGCCTTAACCACTATGCCACCTGCTGTCTCCTTAAATTCACCTCTTACTACCTGTCTCTGTTCACCTGCCTCTATTGGACCCTAAGAGTTGCTGTGCTCACTCCTGCCTCTGACCCATGATAGTCTCCACCCCTTCTCCTACCGTGTCCTGCTCCCTTTTCAAGCACCTGGTTGATCGGTGCTTGACTCTGTGAAGCTATCCCTGGACACTGCAGCCCACTTTTCACTTACTCCAACACTTTTTTAAACTTTATTTATTTTAATTTGACCAGAGTGGTACAGAGTGAGAGAAAGAGAAAGGGAAGGTGAGAAAGCAAGCCACCAGGTCCAGGACTCAAACCATGGTCAGTCATGTGGGAGTCCAGTGCCGTTAACCACCACACCACCTGCTGGCCCCACTAACTCCAACATTTTGTTTGGAAAAATTTCAAACCACAGTACAGTTGAGGGAGTATCTACATACCCCTCATGCAGTTGCACCAATTAACCTATGCTGCATTTGTGTTCTATATACACACTTCTTTCCCATTCAAAAGTGGTAGACAATGCATCCCTAACTACCCTGAAGAACCTTAAAACGCTGCTATATAAACACATGCCATTAGCACACCAATGAATTTAACTCTAATACAATAATGTCTAATATACAATGCATCTTCAAATTTCCCTAACTGCCTTATTAATGCTCTATAGCTATTCTCCAACTGCCTCAACCTAGAATTCAATCAAGAATCTGCAATTATATCTGTCATGTCTCTCTCAGATTCATTTAACCTAGAATACTTCCTTCCCCTTTTTTTCTTGGTCTCTCCTAACTATGACATTTTAAAGAGTCCAGGCCAGCTGTCTTATGAATGCTCTGCAATCTGCAATTGTCTGATGTCTCTTTGATGTCACGGTTGGGTCCGGGTTAAACATTTTTAGACTGATTTGTAAGTGATGTTCCGTAGCTGGCCCGACTCTGGTGATCCTAGGTTTGATAACTTAGGCAAGGTAGTACACCTGAGATGTCTCAATGGTAAACATCTATTTTCCCCTTTGAATGAATGAGAAATCTGTGGGGTGATGTTCTGAAAATGCGTGGCTATCCTACTCTCCAACAACTTCTCACCCTACAGTTTTACTAACCATGCAGGATCCTGGCCTGAATCACTTCTTGTACATAGGATGACCACGGAATGGCAATTGTGTTGACCCTATTAGTCCTTCCACGTCTGTTAGCAGGCAGTCTTTTGGAAAGGTCACCTCATCCCTTTTCCACAAATCCTCCCTTACCTCCACCCCAAGGGATGCATTTTTGTTCACTATTCTCCCCTTTTTTTAAATGTTAAAAATGTCCCAAATTAGGGGCCAGCAGGTGGCATGGGGTTAAGGTGCTGGTCTCCCACATGGCCAACCACAGTTCAAGTACTGGGCCGAGGCTTGCTTTCTCACTTTCTCTCTCTCTCCCCCCGACTCTTTCTCTCTCTAGTCAAATTAAAAAATAATAATAATAAAAATAAGTGAAATTAAATCATTAAAAAAAAAAAAACCCTGTCCCAATCTGGCCAGCAGAAACTTCCAAAAGCCACTTCCTATGTCCTTTTAACATGTCACCATCTCTCTTTGATTATTTCTTTGCTTTCTGTCACAAAAAAAGATACTCCAGGTCTGGAATTCGACATTTCCCTAAGGATCCCTGGTTCCTAAAAAAAATCAGAAACAAGATCTGGCTGCTTGGTGTGAATCACAAAGGGCTATCCCTCTTTCCAGGCCCTTTCAATGGACAGAGCTAAGAAACAGCAGAAAAATACTCACGGATGTTTGAACCCAATGTGACAGGGTTCTTCTTCATTTTCCCCATGCAACATTTGACCTTCCTTTCCCCATAAGAAGAACCCTGTTCCCAAGCAATACCAGTGTATTTACTCCCGTGCTCTGTCCCTTACACAGACAAGACAGTTTCTGGAGTTACTATACCAGTATCACTAGCACAAACAAACCACTAAGTAAAGTTCATGGTTTCCTTGTAGTTTCA